CAGATGGCTGGCATGTTTTTAGAGCCCACACTGCTACCGAAATTGATTTGTCATTAACTGATCTCTATCCCGACTGAAGGCTGTTGCCTGCCTCCACTTCCTCAATCCTCTGCCACCGCCACCTTGAGAAAACGAGCCACTCTTCCTATTTAAACAACATAAGTTGCAACAGATCCTGTGTACTGGTAAATACTGTGTCACATCTTCTGAAGCGCAGAGAGCGAGGGGAAGCTATTACAGCAGCAGCACCCCTGACGCAGGTTTTCATGTCCACAGAGGAGCGTATTGAGCCAATACTGGCGTTTATCAGAGCGCTTTTGAAGCAGTGTAAATGACAAGTGGGACTGCAAAAGAAGAGCGTTGTCTCGTCTCCACTTTCCCCACATAAATCGACAAATCAATACAAATCTTAAACATCACTGAGCGAGCGGGCCGTACACAGAAAGCTCATTAACGCCAGATATTTCTCTTCCCTACTGTTCTCTGTTGTTTTCTTGGTTTCAAGCGTCACACACTGGTCAGATTGGTAAACATACGCATGCTGTTTGCAGTTTACTGGTTTCATGTTACAGGAATTTTCAGTGTGGACTTTTAAATGACTCAAACCGCTGGCATTACAAGCCCCAAACAAACATGAGAAGCAGCCTAATACAGGTTGAAAAATTGGAAATCGCTCAGCGCCGTCACCTCCAATACGACTGGAGTGGGGTGGCTTTCCTCCAATATTGACACATAGCTAATGATTTGTGTGCAGGAATGGTAACTCACATGTGAACGCGTCTAGTTGGTGTTATTCAAACAGGACTGTATGACGAGAAGTCAAACTGGTATTGTGAAGAATTTTAGGAATCATTCTGGGAATGTGAGCGCAATAATAATCATTACAGTGTGAAACATACACAGTACACACAACCCTAAATGTTCTACTACAGCTTCAAGGGTGTCTGCAGACATCAGCCTCACCCTGCCTCAAGGAGCACATGAAGAATTTCATTAGTCTGAGTTCAAATGGAGAGTTTTGTTGCTACTGAATGATCAAAGCTGTTGAGATATTTTACTTCCTGGTAAGAATACAGTCCAGAACGAAACAACTGAATCTGCGTCATGAATTTTCTTCAACCAACCATGTGATCCTGTGGTCAGACGGCCAGCCTCACTATCAGCCAACTCTCCCTCTTCACTTTCCAACTAATACACACAACGAGGCCACAAACACAGGAGAAAACAACCTAGCTCGACTTCACACTTTGTTTCCTCCTCAAACATTCCTATCCAAGCCACAGATTTTCACAGAGCACTAGAACCAAATATAGGCATCAATGAGGTTTACCAAGTGCCCTGGTGCTTAGCAGAACATCCTTTAATCCAGAGGTTTCAGGTTTGAGCCCCTGACTGTCCTTCAATAAAACCCCAAAACAGCTTCAAAATAACTGTATTCTCTACTGTGTATCAGCTTTATGAATGGATGCATCAGCTGTGTGCAAAGTTGAGGATCCCTTACTTATAATTCTATCATGTAATGTAAAATAGATAAAAGGTTTTTGTTAATCAGCAGCACACTGTTTGTGACTTAGGCCAGTTTCTACTGAGCTGCTGAAGAGATCCTGTCAGACATATGTGTCTGCAACAAGGCAAGATACTGAACCAAAATTAGAAACAAACAAGATTAGCTTTTCTGTTGGAAAAAAGGGTAAAAAAATACGAAAGACAGCAGTGTTTTTGGATATACTTTTGTGGCAGCTATACCTTTAAAACAGACTGGATACATTTCACGTCTCCAGTCTTTAGCATACATCTATATTCCTGTAATTACCACAAAGAGCCTAGAGGTTAACCAAACATTATCTCATCCTATTACAGTGTTTAATGAATCTCCAGTCTGCCAAAAGCCTCTCCCACACACAGCGGTGAAATTAATTACCTCTACAGAGTGGCTGCAACACAAACAACGACAGAGCTACGACTGTATATGTTTAACTTGCATTACCTGCCTGAAATAGAGAGCTGATGTGCAAATCAACTGGGTGAGGGTGATACAAGATAAGGTCTCAAAACCCATCAAGGATGAGGTATCAATGTGAACTCATGGTGTGCTTCTCTTGAACTTATTACACTGTATGGCAGGGTTGGAAATTAGCACCAGCCAACAGCCAGATGCAGGTGAAATAAGCGAGTAGCTGCTAGATTTGCTTCACTCACCAGACAAAAAAACAACAATTATCTACTGAAAGGCTGGTAAATTTTGGAAACCACCCAAAAAAGTTCAATTCCAACCCTGCTTTATGGTATTTTTTATCTGATATGGTGTGAAATAGGACTAGGCTATATGGAGAAAATCAAATATCACTATATTTATGACCAAATACCTGATATTTCGACGATGCTGTAGAGTTGACTTTTGGTGCTTTCCCAAGAAATTTACATGGTGTGATTTCTGATAATCATCAGCAGTATGGACATAATGACTAAGTAGGCAAAGGCAAAAAATAGGGCAGTCTGGAAAGTCCAGGAAATTACATAATTTTACTGTAACTCAGTCTTCAAAACCAGAAAAGGACAACACGATATTACAAATCTAAGGTGGTATGTAGTCTAATATCATGATATTGATATAGTATCTATATCCTCCTGAGGCCCAAACTTGTTTGGTATGCATTTTTAATTTCTCCAAGCTATTTGGGATCAGTAGGATCTGATAAGTATAAAAAACAACAAGTAAACATTGTCACTGATAATCAAGTCCCACTGTCTTTCAACAAGCTGATGATAAATTCCCAATGTTTCTCAAACAACTACTTCCTAATTAACAATGTCTTAGCTTGTAACTGTTGCTAAAATTGGTCAAATTAGTTGCCATATCAAACCACAAACATTATTAATCATAAATAAACAAGTGTCAGGATCAGCTGCAGACTGACAGATATGGCTGCCATCTTGTTTTTACATGGATTAGTGTATTTTGCTCTTATTACCACAAGATTGGACAGAAAAGTGTCCACAAATGAGGACAACAGGTCTGAGTTAAGCAGAATTAAGTATAAAGTGCAGGACACCAAAAATGTGATGTCCTCATTGGAGGATGCGGGGTCTCAGGAGGTTAAATATTGCCCAGCCCTGGTGTCAATTAAGTTCTTCCAACCCTCATGGGTTTACAAGACACCATTACACCGACGCTGCAGTAACAATCAAAAAATAGATGCTACTTAACTACTCAGTCCAGAAACAGAACACTCTGCCTTCTATCCCAGGCCTGGCGAAGAAATTCAGCCACAAAAAGGCTCCCTTTCTGGAACAAAACTCAAATTTTTCATGATCATCCAGCCAAAAGGAATAAAGATAGGTAGAGGTCATCTTACTGAAAAGTACATTCCTTATGTTGTCATCTACAGGACAGTAAAACAAAAAGTGAACCTCATTCTCAACTTCACCTAAATTACACAACAAACAAATTCTGTCCTCTGGGGTGGCATTAAACCATCCAGTCTCTAAGGCTGATGGTAACGTTCCTGAGCGCAACTGTGCACATAAAGATCTTTGTCTTTTGTTTAGATTATACTTCACGTATGAGACAATAAGTTCATATTTAAGGTCAAATAAAATAATGATTGTAGCTCATTAGCCCAGGGATGACTGTGGGAGTTGTCCCAATAGTGCAGGCGTTGCAGCAGTGGATTTACAGTAACCCCATCCTGCATGGGGGAATTTATTTTTATGTCCTGCAGCATTACTTCACTGTTTTCTGTGATCATATAAATTTTGCATGAGCTGTGGAAGCCTTGCTGTATGTTGTATTGTACTAAATTGTGTTATGTGATTAAGACTGCAATTATTCTATGCAGCATATCATAAACATGGTGATACCCAGTGACTGTGGTGGAGCTGGGTTGTACTTCAGGAACTGCCTCCTGTTTAGGATGCAGGCTCCCTGCTCCCAGATCAGGGCCTTGGAAGTGTAGGACCACAGATAACAGCTATACCGGTGACATAAATCATACAGTCATACAGAAATGAACACCCCAGTTCTTTAATAGTTGATGGTCAGCTTTTACTGGTGTTAAAACGTGAATAATAGCAATAAATAGTGGTGAAATGATGGTTGTTGTTGTAGCTTGCTCTGCCCTGAGCCCTTTAGCCAAACTGGATTTCCAGGCAGGCAGCTGTCAATCTATCAGGACAAAACCGGGACAGTTTGGGGAAATTCAGCAAAAGCTATGCAGCATTACGATTAATAGTGACTTAACTAAGTTGCCTCTGCTTTAGACTGTGTTCCCGCACAGGCAGCAAATCACTGCTTGTTGTTATTTTGTCACAAATCAGCGAAAAGCCTAGTTAGCTTCTTGATGCTATCAAGCTAGCTGCGTCCGTTCTCGGACAGCTTGCTAAACGTCTTTTACTGGACATGTCTCAGTCAGACGTTGATTAATTTTAACGGTAAATATTTAGCTTAATATTTAGATAATGGCCACAGTCTAAAACGTGTGAATGTGTAGCTGTAGCATACGTTAATTCTTTACAACGACCCACATTTGTAGAGCAGCTACAAACTGATTTCTGCTCGACAAACATCAGATTTACCGTAACGTAAAGCTAAGCGCTCGAGTTCCGACTAAAGGTTAAAGTTAACGTTAGCTTAGCTTATTGATAATTTATCGGCAACCAATTAGTTTAACCAGTGATTGGCATTCTTTGTGGATAACTTGGGTGCCTATAATGTCAGCAGACAGCCGAGGAGAAAGGCCAAAACAATAACAGTCATCAAACATCATCTTGGCTAGGTGTCCGATAATGGAATTTGGTGCATGGGCAGCAGATTAACTGCTGCATTAGCAAACATCGACACAAACAGGCACGTATTTCCCAAAGGTGCTCATAACGGCCACATAATTTGTTTTCTACTGTTATGACAACACTGAAGAGCTGCAAAGGCAAGCTATACACGTCTAACCAGTGTGTGTCCGATAATGGAAGTGTGTGGCTGCTTCCCCTCACTGCAGTTTTACCTTGTACACATCGCCGTATGTGCCGCTTCCTATCCGCTGGATCAGCTCGAAATCCTCCTGCGGATTCCGCCGGGACAGGTCGACACTGGAGTTCATCATTTCCACTGCCGATTACGGCGCCGATAGCGCACGGTTGACGAACTCCAACAATGTATGGGAACAGATATTTTAGGAAAAACATACGGCGTCAGAAAATCCCAGTCCGAGTCCACTGTAGCTCCAACATGGCTTCCACTGCGCATTGAGCATGCGCAATGGACATCATGGCGTACCCTCTCCATGGAGTGTGGTCAGAGATACTGGATGGTCTGACTTGGGAGATGGAGCTGCAATTTAACATTGCGACTAATTTCAAGACAAAACTGTGGTAATAAAACTATTATAAACAAAAAAAATACCACAAAGAAAATACGTGTTAATTTGTTTGTGCGGGTTAAATTAAAAAGTCAGGCAATAAAACACCACACACCTGATTCTAACCCACACCTATATTGACTGTATTACATCCCAGCACCATTGGATCCACACAGCAAAGGTGGAGCCACGTTTTCTAATCTGCACAGGCAGCAAAACACAGGAAGTTTACACCTAAGAGGGAAATGAATGAAAACACTAAGCCCCGTGTGGCCTTGTCTGGCCCTTCTGTGTAAACTGGGCTAAGCAGGGCTAAACAGCAGCAGATGGCAACATTGTGATTCAGCTAATGGGGTCTGTGTTACAGGCAAAACAAAACTCCTGTTACAGAAAACTTTACTGTTGTCGCTTCAGTCTCCTTACAGGCTAAGGCTGCTAATATTCTATAGTTTTGGTCAACAAAAGACACAAACTGACAATGAATTGATCATACTAATAAATGTATGTTGCAAAAGCCTAATATAGCTTATTCTCCTGCCTGATAGACGTCCAAAAATATTGAAAATTCATCACACTGTTGCACTGACATGTTGCATCTTGAGCATGAACATGGGCACACACCGTCTCAGTGTCGTTAATTCTCTCAAGAGCACCAAATATGTATTGATTAGAAGACCAGCTATTAACTCCTGTTTGACTGACGTTTCCTAAAGACCACAGTGCCAAACTCTTCAGGAAATTACTGAGGCCTTTTTGTAAGTGTAATTATATATTTGCATCTTAAGTAGGGACGAGTGGGCTTGGGGCTGAGTGCTACTGACAGGATAGGGAGCACAGTTTTGAGACAAGCTGGAACATTTCTGGTTTGGTCTATTTGTTGAATTTGATGACACTCTGAAGAACATAACTACTCCAAGACCTACAGAGCAATCAAGCTCCCTCAAATGCAGCTAAGATGATTCAAATGTAAACTGTATGTCCCAGGTAGCCATAGGACTCGGCCCAATTATGGCTGAGTGCCGGCTGACTCAGCTGTGTTCGGGCTCCATGCTGCCAAGTGTGAGCCAGCTTTGGGCCTGTTCATTTTTACCAAATCTGGCCCAGATGTAGGTATCATAGATATGATCCTATTCGACGAGTTGATGATTGATTGTTGCCAAATCTGGGCCTGATTAAGCATCGTAAACACGGGCCTATTCCAGATGAAACAGCAGATGACACCAAACAGGCTCTGGCCCGTTGGTGGTAGCAAAATCTGGGTCGACCGAATGTGGCCCACCTTCCTTTTTCCAGCATGCTGAGTTTGGCCTGAAGCAGGGCCATGTCATTTTTGATAACAGCCCAGTGATGGCTGTGTCGGAAGCCGGAGACAGGCCAGCTGATTTGGCCCAATTCTGGGGCATCATTCATGCCGAGTCTTAGCCAAGTCAGGCAACTAGAGGCGTCCCAATTAATTTTATCTGGCATGCCGAGTTTGGCCCAATGCTGGGCCACGTCATTTTCGATAACGGCCAGTGATGACAGCGTCGGCAGCCGGAGACAGGCCAGTTGATTTGGCCTGATTCTGGGGCGTCATTCATGCCGAGTCAGGCAACCAGACGCAGCCTGCCTAATTTCATCCAGCATGCCGAGTTCAGGCCGATTCTGGGCCAGGTCATTTTGGCTACCTGGGGTAGGATAGGGAGGTGGATAAAGGGTTTACTTCTCGAATGGTAAAACTTCTAATCCACAGCTCACACAAATTTTAAAGCTCACAAAACTCAAAATTCACCATTGTTTCAAAAAATATATTCCTTCATATTATTTACAATTGAAAAACAGTGAGGTAACAAACAGACTGACAAAGTAGTTCCAGTAACTTATAGCGTTTCATTGTAATGACTTAATTTTCATGACAACTAATTACTTAGAATTGTAACATCCACCATCACTGATCAAGAGTCCATCTTGACATATTTATGGATGAGTCCATCTATCACACCTAAGCTGACTCTAAAAGTTGCCTGGTGCTTCAGGGAGGAGAGAGAAGGAGGCAGATTGTGCTGCAGCCCAGACTGAGGGTCCGTTTCCTGGGTAGGTGGGGATTTGACCTCCCGGTGGATTTGGGATGTCGGCTGCTTTGTTGGAGAAGGAGATGGGCAGCCCTGTATCCCGGTTTGAGGCTTTGTTTCCTGGTGAGACACTGGTCCGGTGTCTCTCTGTGCCAGGAGTTTTTTCAGGAGACAGGATAACTGGGGGCTCAGTAGGAGAACCAGGCAACCGCCAATACAGAGGACTCTAAACACACAAACAACAATTATAGTTGGTACCATTTTCTTTTGGATAGACAATGTTTTTGTCTACAAACAAATTAAAAGGTGTTCATTTTACTTTAAATGTAACAGGACAGAATGTAGTATTTACATTGTACACAGTTAAGGATCTACTCTGATGTGCAACTGGACTCACAGGGTAAGAATTCTGCACGGTACATGAACACACACACAGAAAAACTGGTACCATTTTCTGATTCACTGAACAGTTCTAAAAGAAACGATAGAAACAGGCACACAGTGGGACAAACCTCTCCATCTCAGTGAGGATGAGTGGCAGGTTGGCAGCCATGTTTGTTTTGGTGCCAAACTTCTTGCCAAATGGCAGGTCACAGACTACAGCATCGACACTGGCACTGGGCAGAGGCAGCACTGTGCGCGTGCGCACACACACACACACACACACACACACACACAGGAGGACAGGCAAGCCAAGAGGTAATTTAATACATGACATATATTACATATATTTAACATTATTCCAGTGATCATTCAGTGCAGGTTTCTTACTCATAGACGAAGCTTTCAGCAGGTGTATCCTGTTTCCCAGCTCTGCAAACGCTACGTTCTCATTGGCCTTCTGCAGCTGTCCATCATCAATGTCTGTACCCAGGAAACAGGCAGCCTGAAGAACCATTGAGAGTGACACATCAGATTATAGTAAAGGTGTTCACACTGCATGCTATTAATTAGAGGTCGACAGATAATCGGCCTGGCCGATTCCTAAATAAATTTTTAGGGTTATTGGTATCTGTGATTTTTTCCACCGATATGCTGATATACCGTTTTATTTTCCTTAGCTGAGCTGTTTTGCCCTGGCGTGCTTCTCACTGCCTGCACCTACTGTACCACTCTAGGCTCTTAAGAGCAAACTCAAGACCTACCTTTTTAGCCTGGCTTTTAATTGAGCTCTCCTTTATTTTATTTTATTATTATTTTATTGTGTTTCATTTTATTTTTTAAATTTTGTATTTATGATTATTGTGTATTTATTTATTTATCTATTTTTATTAATCTGTTTTTTTCAGCCGGCATATTCTTCAACTTTGTTACTTATTTCGTTCTTTATTCTGAGTTTTTATCCTGCCTCTGGTGTTTCCTTACTCATAATAGCGTTTCCTCACTTACTGTTTTTATGAGTGCTGTTATAATAACCTGTACTGTTTCAATGGAAAAGTTCTCAGAATAAATATATGCTTAATTGCATATGAATGTAGTGTTTTGTCAGTGTTTATTTTTTCAATTCTGTGTCATCAATGATTTTTACAGCAGACATATATCGGTTGTAAATATCGGCTATCAGTATCTCTGTTTCATAATAATCTGTATAGGTACTGGCTCTGAAAAAAACATATCGGTCTATCCCTACTATTACTAAATAGTACACGCAATGTATAAATCTTGATATTTATTTTTTAAAACAAAAACCTAGATATTTTAATTGAACAGGGATGAGTTGTCAAATGAAAAGTGATCAGTAAACAAAATGTAAATCATGGAAAACAATTGAAAATGTGCACCAATTGCGACTAGAAAATATTACAGATAGACTGTATTAGTTCACATCTAAACAACAGAAAACAGGTCAATAACTGTATAACATATGCAGCCATGTGCACCAGGAATTAACCATATTGTTTGCCCAATTCAAAAACCTCAAAACTTCACATCTACACTTGAGAGACATACAGGACTCCTGAGGAGCTCTGTGTAGATCTCTGTCCTGACCTTGTGTTCCTGTGCTGCTTCTATTAAGATGGTTCCCACCCCACACATCGGGTCGACCACACAGAAGCCTGGCTGGGAAACAGGAGATAATGTACAGTACATACAATTGGTTAACCGCATACTGTGACTGAGGGGCAGCATTACATCACAGTCTGACTACTGTACACTAAAATGCTTTAGCACACAGACAGCAAACATATTTACAATGAGGACAGCTTTACTGAGGCAGCTTCACAGCTCAATGGTCATATTTAACGAGTCTTTTAGGGGATTGGTCAAACAAACAAAAGCTGTAAATCACAAAATCTTTCTCGACAACAAAGACCAAAGGAAAGCCCATGCTTACACTGTTTAATAATACCCTTTGAGTTGCATACAGCACATAAACAAAAGCCAGAGGTCACAAATGTAGAAACCATAAATAAAGAATACAGCAGCAGGCTACCTGTATCTGAGCCAGTGAGGTCATAGCCCAGGCTACAGTCGACCTCAGTCCTGTGGTTTTAATGTAGCTCCGGTTAGCAAGAGGTAACCTGCAGGAAAGAGACAGGAGGTCCATGATTTATGACTGCTTATCACATTAATTAAAGCTGCGATAAGAAACCCATGTATACCCCACAACAGCGTCTACATCCAGTGCTTCTGAGATTTGTATTAAAAATCATGTCTGGCATTGTTATTCAAAGTCTGCATCTTTAAGGGGAATGATGGCCCCTCCCAGAAAACTGCATGGGTGTTAAATATAGAGAGAGTGTGTCTGTCAATAACCTGGTTAGTGGGATCCCCAGCAGGCAGTGGTCATCACTCAGATACACATGCACCTGCAGAC